AATCGCTATTTTCAGTTTTATCACAATATTTCAGGAACGACAGCAGATATTGATCCGTTTGGTTTATTTTAATGACCTTGAAAAGGCGCAACTTTTTTCTAATTGACCCACGCTGTATATCTTACGGTGCACCCTGTATAAAAGTTTCACATTTCTTTAAAGTATTTTCTTAATACTTCTAATATAAATTAGATGTTTTAAGAGGAACTATGTGTCACATTAAGAAAAATTGTATCTTTTTTTGTTTATTTTGAAGAGATAAATCATTACTTAAAGTTAGGCCTTGTTACCATCATTCGTTATCCAGCCATCATAGAAAGNTATAAAAGTTTCACATTTCTTTAAAGTATTTTCTTAATACTTCTAATATAAATTAGATGTTTTAAGAGGAACTATGTGTCACATTAAGAAAAATTGTATCTTTTTTTGTTTATTTTGAAGAGATAAATCATTACTTAAAGTTAGGCCTTGTTACCATCATTCGTTATCCAGCCATCATAGAAAGTAATATTGACTATAAAATTGCCCCCTCCCCCCCCCCAAATAATGCCGACTAATGTGTTGTATGCGTAGTCGCCCGCAATAAAACAGCGGTAGCTTTCTGACTTGACGAACTAGAACAGGCCGTTTTGGGCGTTGATTTGCAGGACCCACCGAAAGTTGCTGGACGGGTCATCGGGAGGTAAGCTAGCGCCGCTGGCCATCAGCCCTGACGAGCAGCCAGCATTCACCATCACAACCACTGTCTCGTCCGATTCACAAAACCCACCGTCAGTGCGCCGGCCCAGCGTCACTACGTTAGTGTGTTGTCTGCCTTGTTGTCTCTTGTGTTCGTTTCGTACCCGTTCTGTTGTGTCGTTTGCCTCGTTGTTTGCATTTTTGAGTTTGTGCGCAGCATGTTTGCAGAAAAAGCACGGATGCCAAGGGCTACCCATAATTTTGTAGAACTTGCAAGTCCTGAATATCCAGGAATTAAAAAGAAGTCAAAGGAAAGTTAGAAAATCAACCGTAAATCATATTTTGTGAGAGAATTTGATTTAGAAACTAGAAAATCAGCGATTCATTTTGTAAAATGATAGTATTATTTCTATTAAATTGGATAAGGGCTTAATGAAAAGATTTTTCAAATAAAAGTTGTAGGATTTTGAGGGGGGCATATAATGGTGACTTTGACTATGACCATCAAGGTCATTTCAAGGTCAAGTTGATTTTTTCAAATGGAAACATATTTGACACCAGAAATGAAAAGAGCAGAAAACTTTACATCCGACTATGACCTTGAGCATGATCTTCAAGGGCATTCGAAGGTCATTTTAGTTTTTTGTTGCAAAATTAATTTCCGTCTTGCCGAATAGTGTATTCGGAGATTTACGAGGGTGCTGATCGCGAATATGAAGTCAGAATTTGAAAATATTCAGATCCAATATGGCCGACCAATTTTTGGTAAACATTTTTAATATTCATATGGATTAACACTTTGAAAATGCTTCAACCTACGTTTAAACTCAAGGTCGAGCCGAGTATTCGACATATTGGATCCGCCGTATCGGATTTAACTATTACTAAATTCTGAGCTAGTCTGACTTCAAAAACATTTGAATAAGAAATGCATGCCGCAAAGGGTTAATGGGTATTCTCGAAAATTATGGCGAGTCCCACATATCAAAAAGAAAAATATGAACAAGATTAAAGTTTTGCCTGCAAAATACTAGAATGACCTTCAAATGACTTTTGAAATTTAAGGTCATGATCAAGGTTATATCCGGAAGCAAAATTCTCCGCACTTTCTATTTTGGTCTGAAAGATACCGGTTTCTATTTGAAAAATTAACTTGACCTTGAAATTACCGTGAAGGTCAAGGTCAATGTCACAGATGGACGTGAAATGGCCCGCTCTTCTCATTTCTGGTCTCAAAAGTAGAATTTTGCAACAAAAACTAAAATGACCTTCAAATGACCTTGAAGGCCATAGTCAAGGTCATAGTCGGATGTAAAATTTTCTGCTCTTTTCATTTCTGGTGTCAAAAATAATATGTTTCCAATTACAAAAATCAACTTGATCTTGAAATGACCTTGAAGGTCATGGTCAAGGTCACCATTAGTTGTCCCCTTCAAAACCCTACAACTTTTATTTGAATTTTTTCATTAAGCCCTTAACTTAAGAGATATTCACGAGTATTTTTTAAAATGGGACACCCGGTATAAAATAATCACTCGGAAAAATTTCGAGTTTTCAAAAAAAATGTATATATCCGATGATTTTAGTCATTTTTNGTATTTTCTTAATACTTCTAATATAAATTAGATGTTTTAAGAGGAACTATGTGTCACATTAAGAAAAATTGTATCTTTTTTTGTTTATTTTGAAGAGATAAATCATTACTTAAAGTTAGGCCTTGTTACCATCATTCGTTATCCAGCCATCATAGAAAGTAATATTGACTATAAAATTGCCCCCTCCCCCCCCCCAAATAATGCCGACTAATGTGTTGTATGCGTAGTCGCCCGCAATAAAACAGCGGTAGCTTTCTGACTTGACGAACTAGAACAGGCCGTTTTGGGCGTTGATTTGCAGGACCCACCGAAAGTTGCTGGACGGGTCATCGGGAGGTAAGCTAGCGCCGCTGGCCATCAGCCCTGACGAGCAGCCAGCATTCACCATCACAACCACTGTCTCGTCCGATTCACAAAACCCACCGTCAGTGCGCCGGCCCAGCGTCACTACGTTAGTGTGTTGTCTGCCTTGTTGTCTCTTGTATTCGTTTCGTACCCGTTCTGTTGTGTCGTTTGCCTCGTTGTTTGCATTTTTGAGTTTGTGCGCAGCATGTTTGCAGAAAAATCACGGATGCCATGGGCTACCAATAATTTTACAGAACTTGCAAGTTCTGAATATGTAGGGAATTAAAAATCAGTCAAAGGAAAGTTAGAAAATCAACCGTAAATCATATTTTGTGAGAGAATTTGATTTAAAAACTAGAAAATCGGCGATTCATTTTGCAAAATGATAGTATTATTTCTATTAAATTGGTTAAGGGCTTAATGAAAAAATTTTTCAAATAAAAGTTGTAGGATTTTGAGGGGGACATCTAATGGTGACTTTGACCATGACCATCAAGGTCATTTCAAGGTCAAGTTGATTTTTTCTAATGGAAACACATATTTTTGACACCAGAAATGAAAAGAGCAGAAAACTTTACATCCGACTATGACCTTGACCATGACCTTCAAGGGCATTCGAAGGTCATTTTAGTTTTTTTGTTGCAAAATTCATTTCCGTCTTGCCGAATAGTGTACTCGGGGGTTTACGAGGGTGCTGATCGCGAATATGAAGTCAGAATTTGAAAATATTCAAATCCAATATGGCCGAGCAATTTTTAGTAAACATTTTTAATATTCATATGAATTAACACTTTGAAAATGCTTCAACCTACGTTTAAACTCAAGGTCGAGCCGAGTATTCGACATATTGCATCCGCCGTATCGGATTTAACTATTACTAAATTCTGAGCTAGTCTGACTTTCAAAACATTTGAATAAGAAATGGGTATTCTGGAAAATTATGGCGAGCCCCACATATCAAAAAGAAAAATATGAATAAGATTAAAATTTTGCCTGCAAAATACTAGAATGACCTTCAAATGACTTTTGAAACTTAAGGTCATGATCAAGGTTATATCCGGAAGCAAAATTCTCCGCACTTTCTATTTCGGTCTGAAAAATACCGGCTTCTATTTGAAAAATTAACTTGACTGAAATGACCGTGAAGGTCAAGGTCAATGTTACAGATGGACGTGAAATGGCCCGCTCTTCTCATTTCTGGCCGTAAAAGTAGAATTTTGCAACAAAAACTAAAATGACCTTCAAATGGCCTAGAAGGCCATAGTCAAGGTCATAGTCGGATGTAAAATTTTCTGCTCTTTTCATTTCTGGTGTCAAAAATAATGTGTTTCCATTTGAAAAATCAACTTGATCTTGAAATGACCTGGAAGGTCAAGGTCACCATTAGTTGTCCCCTTCAAAACCCTACAACTTTTATTTGAAAAATTTTTTCATTAAGCCCTTAACTTAAGAGATACTCACGAGTATTTTTTAAAATGGGACACCCGGTATAAAATAGTCACTCGGAAAAATTTCGAGTTTTCAAAAAAAATGTATATATCCGATGATTTTAGTCATTTTTTTAATAAAACGTTTATACAATTGTTTTAATTTCAAGAGAGATGCATGGACTCCCTAATATAAGCATGTTAGTGTTTCAACTGATTATTGTTAAGCAAAACGTCGAATTTGCATGTTTTTTTAATGTAAAAAATAGGATTGGATAAATACTATTAGTATTTATTGATGAAATGTGAATATATCTTATTTCATTGAATATTTGCGGTTATAAAGCGTATCCCAAAAACACAGGATTTGAATTGTGCGCCATTTTCATTCTGAAAGTTGGCAGCGTTGTGAAGGGTTGCATGTTGTAAACATTTGGCAACTAATCTTTCACAGTTGTTTCATTCGGGGCGTTCCTTCTAGCGAAAATTCCACGTAATTTACGTACATTCTCAGCTACACACTCTCCGTACTTGTAATGAATTGTCACAAATTTCACTCGCTCATCCATCGTATCTAATCACAATGCTGCCAACTGTTTGGAATGAAAATGACGCACAATTCAAATCTAGCGTTACTTCTGGGACATCTTTTATTATAAAAAATTTAAAAAAACAGTTTAAAGCATGTGTAACTTTGTATGAACTTCAGGGCATTTTTTGACAAAAATGCCATCACCCAAAACAATTTTGTTATTTATTGGTTTGCATATCGCTTTTGCTGTGTTGCACTGCATGTAGTTATAACCTCGGCACTGGTAGCGGCTTACATATTAACGTAAAAACATTAACAAGCAAAATACTCAATTTTTTTTGTACGATATGTACCCGCTATACAAGACTGCTTTATGTTGGACGACGGAGTTACAATCGCTATAGGTAAAAGTTGATGTTGTAGGAATCCAAGCGCGGGCAGCCTCGTTTTGTCCGAGACCGGATCACTGGATCGAGCCAAAGCGGCCTACGAGAGACGGAAAAAGAACCAGGTCCAGGAGTCCGACATGGCAACCGTGCCGGGAAGAGTGGAGATCACCAGGGTCAATCCCGATGATTTGATAGAGGAGCTCTTGAAGAATACCAATCTGGAGCAAGCGGATGACTCAGCTGAAAGTAAGATCTGGTTTCGATGTTTCTTAAACACTACAGATGGTCCTGTTTTGTTGGTCCTTTCAGGAAGTGTCGCCAATGTGCTGATACTCCCTGAACCGTCTTAGTAACTTTTAAGAAACGCCGTATTACTTTTCCTTGAATTGTATTAATTCGTTCATAGTCTAGACGGTATTTGTTTAAAAAAGTCCATATTTGGGTGAATCGTATATCCACGGAGATTTTTGGCTTTTTGGCTTTCAAATATCACTAGAAATGAATATTTTTCTATGCGTATAAAAAAAACGTGAGTTTAACTTTTGGCGGCACAATATGTTAAAAAAATTCGAAAAATGTCATATTTTTCTTCCTATTAATTATGGATATTTTCAAGAGTTGATTTTAGACGAAAATGAAGGAGGACAACAATGTTTGTAATTAAATTTTTTACAAAATATGACTAGTTACAAATCGAATGAATCAAGATTATTATTGTAAAAATCGAAAAAATCGCATAAATGGGGTTAAAAAACATTACTTTTTAGGGATTTTTTTGGGGTTTTTAAACTGGGTATAGGACCTTCATACTTGGCTCCAGAAAACTTCATGTTATGTAGAATTATCACACCAAATTTCATCTAAATCGGTTCGATAGATTTTGCATAATAATTTTACAATCCAGTTTGAAACAAAATTTGCAAATTTTCAAAATTTTGCACAGCAGAAACCAAGGCCCTTAGATACTTGAAAATTTAATCACATAGAAAAGGGCTTTCAAACGCTTTTTGAAAAATTAAAATCTGTCAATTAGGAGGGCTCTGGCGCTTGTTTAAACATTCGTCGAATTTTTGTACTTATAAACAATTAGAATAACTTTGTGAATATTCAACCAAATCAAATTTTTTAAAATAGGTTTTAAAAGTTATTGGGAAGACGCTTCCTTAAAAAAAAAACAGATCGATTGGTCAATTAATTACGTAGTTACAGCCAATCAAAGTTAACCGTCATTTACACTAAATGTACTGGGACATCCGGGCTAATTTTTCGAAAAATACCTTTGGTATTCCGAGTATTTACCAGGTCTAAGTTTGCAATACTTTTCTTCGTTGGCAACCTACTTTAAAACGTGTTTGAAGTTATTTATGCATGCGAGCAATTCAAGAAAATCGTGCGGGGAAGCAGAGAGCGCGGCCGCTTCGGCCTGCTCGAAATTGAATCGGCGAGTTCAAAACCGCGACGCGCTTAAATATTTTTAATATCTCAGCTTCTAGAGGTCAGATTTTGATGATTTTTGTTTTAAACTCAAAATAATTATTAATTTCCGCGTTGTCTAACTCCTCATTCTCGCACTCTACTTCTGCTTCTACTTCTACTTCTTCTACTTCTTCTTCTACTTCTACTTCTTCGATCGAATCGATTTCGTCTTCGGTTTCTGTGAAATTAACTTTGATCGGCTATAACTACGTAACTAATTGACCAATCGATCTGTTTTTTTTTTAAGAAGCGTCTTTCCAATCACTTTTAGAACCTGCTTTAAAAAATTTGATTTGATTGAATCTTTACAAAGTTATTCTAATTGTTTATTAGTACAAAAATTCGACCATTGTTTAAACAACATGGAAAAATTTTCATTTCTAGTGATATTTGAAAGCCAAAAAGCCAAAAATCTCCGTGGATATACGATTCACCCAAACCAAAACAGATACCGCCTAGTCTATCATGTGCCTGCTCTTCCAGCCTCTGGTCTTCAGCTGTTCATAGCGAAGGACGGCACCGCGGCCCTTGGAAACCACGAGGTCAAGTCCCAGATGTCGACGGGGGTCCAAGTATTCAAGCAGGTGGTGATGGACGACAGGTAGCCAAGGTGTTAGACCTCTCGCCCCGTCACCGCTTGAACGTGTACGGTACATCAAATAATCAATGTTGATATTACTGTTGGTACGAAAACATCCTGTAGCATTGCCCTGTGAGGTGTCTTTAGAGGAGCGCGCCCGCTATCCAGGACAATAACTTCCACTGATGACAATAGGACGAAGTTAACTCGTGCCGAGTCGAAGCGAGGGCTCAAAATTTTGTACAAATCAAAAGTATAGGTATTTTGTATTTTCTAGTTGCAGTATTACAGTATCGGGATAGCGTGTTAGTGCTAGGTTTTCTTTTTATCGTGGAAGGGGTGACCAAATTGATGAAACGGAAATGAGTTCGTTCGGGTTAAAAAGAAAGTTAGAGTCTCACATATCCAGAAAAAAGTACAAAGAAGAAATGAAACTTAATTTTTGTTATTATATGATAGTTTGTTAATAATTTTTTTGCCAAAACGGAAAATTGATCAAGTGATTTGAAACTTACAGGTATTTGGTGACTAGCACTGATTTGACCAGTAAATTACTTAGCATTTATTTTAATGCTACTTTAATCTCATCTTTTAGTTTTCTCCTTTTTTTTTTTGATAAAAATTTGAAATTGCTTGTTAAATAATTAATCATTCCGCTAATTATGTGAAAATTAGTGTTTCACCATAAGCTATTGGTAAAGAATGGTCACTATTGCTCTCTGTTTTAAACGCTAATTCGTTTTTAGCGCTTATTTAGATGACACAAGAAAATAATGTTAGTTTTTTAAATAATTTAAAATTATTGAATAATTATTGATTTGATTATGTGATAGTTAATATTTTACCATTCAGAAACCGTCGTTTTTCAGTAGTAGCAGTTATTGTTGCTATTGAACTCTTTAGCGTTTATTTGAAGACACATTGAAGGAATATTTTTCTTTTCTTACAAAAATTTGTAGTTGCTTATTAAGTAATTATGAATTCAATAATTGATGTTTTCAAACATAAGATACAAAATTTTTGACCTGTTAGAAACCGCTGAAAATAGTACTTTTAAATTGTTTTTCGCTATCGAAACCTTTAGTGCTTATTTTAATGGTACATAAAGGAGTATTTTTGCTTTTTTTAACAAATCTTTGAAGTTACTTATTAAATAATTATTGATTTAATTAATTATTTAAAATTCTAATGGTGTTTAATAACATAGCCACATAAAAAAAAGTTGTATGTACTTTCATGCGACATATGTTATTCGTAGTATTTTTACCGTCTGATCACGAGTCCGGTGTCAGAATTGAGCTATCACATCCCAGGAATTTCCTAACCTCAGAAAACGGGTCAAAAATAGCAAAAATTCACGAAAAAGTGCTAGGAAAAATACAAAAATTTTTTTCCCTATATTCAAATGTTCACTTATATGGTTCAGACCTCGCCAAATGTGAATCCGCGATGAGAATTTTTAACCTCAAAAAACCGTCAATTAAGGTCAGATATCACGCATTTTAAAAAAATAACAGATTCGCGCCAAATTTGGTATACAGGGATTTTCGGGGTCGCTGATCACGGATCCGAGGTCAATTTTGCAAAATTCAAGATGGCGGATTCAAGATGGCCGACCAAATTTTCAAAAAAATCACAGATTTGCGCCAACTTTGGGATACGGGGGTTTTTGGGGTCGCCGATCACGAATTCGAGGTCAATTTTGCAAAATTCAAGATGGCGGCCGACCAAATTTTCAGAAAATAACACATTCGCTCCAAATTTGGTATACGAGGATTTTCGGGGTCCCTGATCACAAATCCGAGATCAGATTTACAAAATTCGTTTTTAAAAATTTAGTCAATTACCTATGTACTTTATTTGCTGAGATTAAACAGAGAACCCGTGAATAGATCTTTTACAGAAAAAAAAAACAAGAAAATTAAATTAAAACATGATTGGATATTCAGGATATAAAATAAACAAAAATATTACAAAACGAATTTCGCAATTCTGACCTCGAATACGTAATCAGCGACCTCGAAACCCCGTATACCAAATTTGGTGCGAATGTGTTATTTTTTGAAAATATGGTCGGCCCTCTTGGATTCGCCATTTTGAATTTTGTAAAATTGTCTTCGGATCCGTGATCAGCGACCACGAAAACCCCTGTATACCAAATTTAGTGCGAATGTGCTATTTTTTTGAAAATCTGGTCGGCCATCTTGGATTCGCCATCTTGAATTTTGTAAAATTGACTTCGGATCCGTGATCAGCGACCACGAAAACCCCCGTATACCAAATTTGGCGCGAATGTGTTATTTTTTTAAAATTTGTGAAATCTGACCTTAATTGACCCGCTTTTTTGAGGTTAGAAAAGAAACCATCAATTGTGACAACGGATTCACCTTCGGCGGGGTATTAACCATATATACCCCGCCGAAGACATTTGAATATAGAAAAAAAAATTCCTAGCACTTTCGTGAATTTTTGATATTTTTGACCTGTTTTTTGAGGTTAGGAAATTCCTGTGATGTGGTAGCTCAATTCTAACACCGGATTCGTGATCAGGAGGCAAACATACTACGTATAACATATGTCGCATGAAAAGTACATACAACTTTTTTTTGTGTGGCTGTCTGATTCTTGGTCTTTCAGAAAGTTTTATTTTTTACTGGTTGCTGTTTTCCTTGCTATTAATCTCTTTAGCGCTTATTAGAGCTGCACATTAAAGGAAATATTTGTCTTTATTTCTCATAAAAATTTGAAGTTGCTTATTAAACAGTTAGGTATTACTTAAACATAATGAAGAAATTTTAGACCTATCAGAATCCACGGAAAATGCTTTCCATTGTTTTTACTATTAAACACTTTAGCGCTTATTGAGACAGCACATTAAAGAATTTTTTTTGTTTTTTAGTAGAAATTTGAGGTTTATTTATCAAATTTAATTAATTTTGAGGAACCCAAATGGTGTTTAAAATAATTTTTTACATTTCGGAAATAATAATTTTTTAGTATTTGCCATTGTTGTTGCTACTGAACTATTTAGCGCTTTTTTGAACGACACATTAAAGAAATATTTTTGTTGTTTTTAATCGGAAATTTAAATAATTGTTAATTTAATTATGTGAATCCTGAATGGTGTTTAATAATTTTTTACCTTTCAGAAGCCACTGAAAAATAGTGAGTATTAATTTAATCAATCGCTTCAACCGTAACTTTTCAGAAACCATTGCGCATTAGGAAAACATTTCGTTTTTGCAATAAAAATTTTAAATTTCTTAATTATCAAATCAATCAAACTTTTGAATCTAATTCGCTCTTTTCCTTTCATCAAATTTGGGACTCGCATTTATATATTTTTTGTACGCTTTTACAGATTGTTTTATAAAACAAATGTGTCTAATAAATGGCTGATTATGTCCGAGTAAGGTCAGTTACGACGGATTGAAATTATTTTCAGCACAGTTTCCAACAGAGGAAAAGACTTTGCAAGGATCTTTTTTTTATATACATATATATAAAAGATAAAATGTATCGTGATGTATAGAAAATATCAAAAGTACATTCTAGTTGTCGGTGTGCATATAACATAATGTCGTTTTTGGTGTCTGGAAGCTCCAAGGAGAATCCGTTCTAATCCTCAATGTACAGTATTGATGTTTACTGGAAACGTGTAAAAACATGTAAGATATTAAGCCTCGTGTAAGTACTAAAAAAAGCGTTTGCTACAGAATTTTTTTGATATCAATATATTGTTAGTATTACAGTTGCATATACATAACGTTGCCAATTTTTGTGATACATTGTTATTATTAGTGCGAAGTATACATCACACGACCCTTTTTTTAATGTGATGGCAATATCATTTGACAATATTATTTATTGTAAATTATTTCGTTTACCATTCTGCATAAATTCTATTTATTTTCTAGTTTTAATCTGGACTTTCCTGTATTATACTTTTAGTTTTAATATGTATATATCGATACAATAAATTTAACAGGAGTTATGTTTGAATTTCGGCTTTCACTCATTTGAAAAATTCCCTTCCCACAGGCCCAGAACAAAGATGTTTTACGGACTCGCAAATAATAATTTCCATTAAAAAACAGTAAAAAAGAAACAATTTTTTTATTAGATTAAAAATAAACTTATAAGATCCTACATAGCATTGGGTAAAGCATAAACAATGGTAATAAAGCAATATGACGAGGTAAGTAAATCTTTAATACGTAATTAAGTAATTTATAAATACATTGTGTAACTTTAAGTGAGGTTTTAATAGTATGTATTCTGTAGAATGCTAACCTAAAATATATTTTTTCTAAATAAAATACATAATCGAGTTATAATTAGTTTTTTAAACTGCATTTATTAAACTCTTTGTCTACGCCGTTACTGAGCAGCTCAGTTTTATGTGAGCGCTTATCGAAAAGCGGAAAATTAGTCACAAGCAATAAAATTTCAATTTTTACTGTATTACATTTTAATAAATACACTGGTCAAAGTTTCATTCATATTTTGCTTAGCATTTCTTTATTTTTTTTTTAATAAGTTAGATCGGAATACAATTGTCAAGACATTTTGATTCATCTTTGAAATTTGTTGGAATGTATAAAGTTTAATGATATGTATATATCGATGCGACGGGCGCATATGATATGCACGTGCATATTTCCGCGGTTTATTATAAATGCACGGTTTTAATCATTCATTGTGCCAACTTAAATTTCTAGTCAATCTGAGATAGCATGTTTTTACTTAAAGACCTGAACTAAGATGTTTTTCAAGCTTAATTTGAGATAGCATGTTTTACAACCGCATTTTCGTACCAAAGCGTCGATTTAGTTCAGTTGATTCGAAATAGATGTCGCGCCAGTAAAATTTTCTATTTTCAGATGATCCACATTTTGTAGGTTAGATTTAATGTGCATTAATATTAAAATTAATAAACAAATCTTAGCGGTTTACAGGAAAATGTTAAAATTTAAGCCACTTGGGTGTTTCAAGGTAATTCTCCTTGAAAATCGAAACAAAAAATTATACAAAACTCATCCTTCATCGCGCTATTTTTCACGAGCAATCGCTTATGGTTAGTTAATTTTGTACTGCAAGATACACCTCATTATAATCATAAGAATTAGCCCAGAAGTCTTATGTAAGGTAGAAATTGTCTCAAGACAATTCAAACGAATTTCCAAGGATTGTACAATCCTTCCCATAAAATTTTTAAGGAATCCTACTTTCCATTCAGTTCTCAGAATTATGTTGTGTAAAACAATTACTCTGCGGACTATAGGCCCCGTCCAGCAGTATCCAATAGACAGCTAAGATGATTCGTCAGAGAATCACTGTACACAAACACCGATTTTGAACTTATTAGCTCACTTCAGTATGCCATATGTGAGATTTAGCTTAGGATTATGGGTTAGATATAATCTAATAAAGGTATGTCGTATCTTAGATCGATGGTTTACAGACATAAAACCTTATTTTATAGCTACTATCAAAGAGCGACCTACTAATCTAGTTACTATAGGAATGCATAACTAGTGTTAACTTTTTAACTAATGTAACAACTCCTCTGCAACTACAGGCCCTGTCCAGCATTGAGTTGCAACCGCAATATCTAATAAACAGCTAAGAAATACGTCGGTAGATAAACATTAAATTTTTTTTATTTTACATTTTCATAGACAAGAAAAGTGGAAAAATCGAAATATATTCAAAGAAATCAGCGCAATATGTACATCGATGTTCTGTAAATATGTACACCTATTTACCTAATCAAGAAATGGCATAAAAATTTGTTATGTGGGCTAGTATCCCTTTTTCAACGTCTCGCATAATGCCTCTCACAACCCTACAAATGTTTTACTACATTCGGTCAGAGTATACCTAAGTCTCTCAGTGTAACACATCAATATACCTTTGCACCTGCCTAATTAGGAGTATTAACTGGTACTAGGACCAAACTGTTATAAACCTATTTTATTTAGCGACATCTACACAAATATTCTAGTACTTTGTTAATTAGTAAGGTGGCCATATCCCTGGCCGAGAAATAGTCAAATTTCTAGCGTTTTTAGGTACTGAAAGCTTAAAAAGTAAAACGTGTAGAACAAAAGTAAGCGCAAAAATAAAATCCTTGATGTTCTGTTTATTCCTTGATACTATTTAAATTTACTCAAATAAAATAATAACTAAAAAAAAGCGTTTAGAAAACATGCGTTTGCTGTTATCCTAACCCCACATTTTAAGAATTAATTTCA